AAAAATCCAATCAAAGTCTATCAGTGGAATCCAAACATAGTAACAAAGCACCTATCGTATACTGTAAGATTTGAGAGGGGGTCCAAGCCTTAAGTGCCCTGACTGCTTGCTTCCCCACTGCCCATAGGCTAGTTTCAGAGACAGTAATGCTTTAAATTGTCTTCTCCAGCCACACTGCATAAATCATCTCTTCAAGAAAAAGTCATTTACAGTGTATTTCCATAAATCACACAGCCCAAGGTTTTTTCCCAGCTGCCACCTATTTCTTATACAAAAGTGATTCGCAAGTTTTCTCCTATCCTACACACTTAGCCAACATGAGACCCTTGGCAAAAGCTGTCCACTAAAGCAACGATTAGGGGACAATGTTGGGAGCTGGAGTGGTGCTAATGTTACATTTCATCTATCATCGCCATAATGCCCTTGGTAAACTAGAATGACTGCAAATCATTGCTTTACAATATCTGAAGAGATCTCATATTACACTTTGGAAGAATAGCATACTGTGATCAACCTAAAATTTAGGGAAGAGTCTTTCAACAGAAAATACTGGAATTTCAGTAAGTTCTACTTTATTAGGTTCCAAAAGTTTTTCTTCCTATTTGTTACAGACTAAAAAAGTCATCATTTAGGCTCTCCAAAAATATTTGACATCAACTGTAATATGTTTACATGTTTAATGGTAACCAGTTAGACTTCTAACTCTTTTCAAAGTTATAACCATCTTTATGTGAGGTATATAAAAATCACCATCAGATTCAGTACCCTCTTTCCCCATATCAAAATAAAGAACCAAACAAAACATAATGAAGGAAAAATTAGCATGACACCTGGAAATGTTTCTGTAACAAGGCAAAAAAAATAAATGTTCAGGCCTGCTTGTTGCTTACCTAGGCCCAGTTCATTATGCAGTAAGTCCTCGATCTTTAAAATTAAAAAACCCAAAATTACCTAACATTTTACTAGTCTTTGATTTCAAAAGCAAAGTTTAAACTCCGAGTGTGCCCAATAAAAGCCTGTGGCACCACAGGAGAGCTGCTGTAGTAAAGAAAGAACTTCAGCAAAGAGATATGCACTTAAAAGTCACACACACACACAAAATCTAAATATAACAAACCAGCTGCTTTATAAGTAAGTCTAATGCGTTCATTTTAAATGCATAAAATATACTGACACCCAATAAATTAAAATGGTAGAAAATTTTTATTAATAATGTACTATTCGCACAGCTTATTATGAATTACTAATTTGCATTTAAATATCTACTCCAATGTGCTTTCTCAAAAATTATGGATGTAAATAGACTCAAATAACCAAGAATTTCCTAAGGATCCAAGCAAGCTATTTAGTTCAGAGAAGTAAAAAAACCTGTTCTCAGGACTGCATATGATTCAACTCCACTATTCCAAATTACACATAACTCACTGAAAACAAGGGTATCATTTAACATATACTTGAAAACTATGAGAGTATATAAGAAAGGAAAGTCTTCAAATATTTTTTATGGCCAGAAGACGTGAGAAGTTTTACCTTGTATTTTCCCTGGTCACAGCCACACAGAGTACTCTCCATGGTATAGCTTCTCTGTACTCCTATTTCCCTCCAAACCACAACACGAGCTGTAGATTCTTTAGATTTTTCCACTACAAAGCTACAGCTGCTCATGCAAAATGCTGGGGCAATATGGCTCAGTATCTTAGGCAAAGTCTGTAAAAATGAGAAAGATAATAATAAAATAAACCAAGAACTATTTTTTAATTTTAAAAAATTTTGGTGAAAGCACATAGATTAGAGCAGGGCCATGTGGATCTTCTTGCTGTACATCCCCTGCTATACAAACATCAAAATGGTCCTCTTACTAATTTAGAATTTTCTGCTTTTCTAAACAAATATAGCAACCAGTCAGAAAACATAACGGAAGAACCACATTCACAGTAGCAACCAGTAGGTAGACTAAAACCATGTTAAAAATATGAAGAAAAATATGTTTAAAATACAAAGAAAATTTAGTCATGAAAGTCTAATTGAGAGATTTAACATGGTAAATGTCAATCATCCCTAAATTAATTTAAAAAGCTAACACAATCATAATCAAAATACCCCAAAGTTTTCTGCAACTGAAAGTTATTCTCTAGTTCACCTGAAAGTGTAAATATGGAAATATACCCTAAGAAATACTGGGGGGAAAACAGGGGACTACGACTGGAGAAATAATCCAACAGTTATCCATCTAGACTGTACATCGCAATGTAAGTTAAATTGTGATACTGATATATAAATAGATAAATCTCAAGAAAGAAAGTTCAGAATTAAAACCACAGGTATTAAATTTACTATTATCATTATTAGTGGAGAAAAGATTGATCATTCATTAAATATTGGCATAACTGGGCAGCCATTAAGAAAAACATTCTGTGGTCAAAAAACATATGAAAAAATGTTCAACATCTCTAACCATCAGGGAAATGCAAATTAAAACCACAATGAGATATCACTTATCTCCAGTGAGACTGGCCTTTATCAAAAAG